CGTCTCCTCGAGACGCGGACGCGGAAATGAAAAAGGAAAATAAAGCGCGCGCGCGCGCGCGCGGGGCGAACAGAGACGGAGGACGCGGGAGAGAGTAACTGGTTGACGTAAATCCGCGCTTTTTCCGAACACGTGCGAGTTTGATAACAAACTTGCGAGGGAGTTTTCGACGGTGCCCAGTGGCGTATCCCTGCCCGGCGGTTCCCCGAGACCCGCGCTCCACGTGAATCGCGAGTCCCGGAGAGATAGAGAGAAAGAGAGAGAGGTTGGGAGGGAGGGAGAGAAAAGTATTTCTCCTCTCTGCGCGCGCGAGACACTTCTCGTCAAAGCGAGACGGCGGGGCTTTCGAGCGCCACTTTCGCCAATTTTACGCTCGCCGTCGTGAGTTAAAACGTTAGCGGTAGGTTGAAGAGCCAGCCTGAATTTATTTGGTTCCTCGTCGCGCGACATTAGGACTCATTGTTGATTCGCGCCCCGTTGCCGCTCGCTGTCGTCAGCTCGTTGTGCGCCTGCCACGGCGGCCTCTTGCACGAGGCTGCAACTGTTTGCGATCGCAAGGGTGCCGTCAGCTTGGCAATTAATTATCCGATGGCTGATAAAGATTTTATTAATTGCTCATTTAATGCCGATAGCGACGGCGACGGTGGATGATTGACAACGCGGCGGGCGTAAGCGAAACTTCTCCGCTCTGTTCTCGATATCGCGATTCTATTTTCCGAGATTTTCCAAAGTCGCGCGCGCGCGCTGTCGGGATATATTCGTTTCACGTAGAAGCTCTTTCGAACGCAAATTGAGCGGGAGGATTCTCCTATTTCACATGCGGTGTGCCCGCGCATTCTTCACCCAAGCGCGATTTTATTATTTTTATCGTTATTGTATTATCGCCGGCGTAATTGCGACCGGCGGAGTGATTTATCGAGCGGGTGTATCCGTAGGTGGGTTTTTAACCGGACGCAATTTATAATCGAACCCGTCGCATATGTGCGAATGACGTGACGTTGAAGAGGTGTACGCTTGTTCCAGGTCACGTCGCGCTTGCCTACGCACGTGTGCCGCCTTTTGCATTAATTATGTTTTAATTATAAAATAAACGCACGAGCGCTACGTCATTCGTTTCAATTCGCGTCGCGTACAGACAACTAGAGAAACGTATAGAAACTCGAGGGTCATCCATTCCGTTAGAATTGCGTGCATGCTTACCTGTATGTCAAATAGTGTATTTTATTGACGTGGAGGGCGAGAAAGAGAGAGAGAGAGAGGGAGCGAGGGAGGGAGGAAAGGAGTCAGTGCACGAGCTAATTAAAAATGAATTTGCAATTTTGTTAAGTACAGTTCGCATTATGGGCACCTCATCGACCTAATTTAAAGTCGTGCATTTATATAAAAGCGTTACGGATAAAAGGGATGAAACAAAAGCCTCCGCTCCCCCGTTTCCGTGTAACGCGCCTCCTCGACAAGTTTACGAATCGCTGCAATTTAACGGATGATTGATAGAGACGGGTTACTCCGGCGGATAGTGTCTTCCAGCGACTCTCCGAGGATTGGACCGGGGGTATATTGTCAGTCAGCGATCAGACACAGCGCGCAAATACACTTGATTGAAAATCGCCCAGAGTTCACTCGTTGTCGCCTCCTCGTTCGTTCGAAAGTCGCGGCTGAGGTGGCCTCGGGTGCGATCTTGACTCTTGAATCCGCGTATCGGTGACCCCGCGAGGCGTTCCCAACTTCCCTCTCGCAACGCGGGATAAATATCGGGCGACGCCACGGAAAGCGTGCAAATTAACCGAGTGGCCGCCACTCTCCTCCGATTATCCCTTTTTACCAGGCGCGAAATTATTCGCGGCCAAACACACCCGATCGTCGGCGAGGCGAATGCCGACGCTGCTAAATACCGGGCGGCTGAATCGCCCGAAGTGCGATTCCGTAATTGTCGCGTATTCGGCCGGAGAAATAATGAATGCGTGTGCCATCTCGGGAAAAGCACGTATCTGACGATCGTCTGTTTCACAATCGACGACAATAGCGCTGGCGTAACGCACGGCTCGCAATCTTTATAAAATCGCATTCCCGACACGGCCGTTAGCTTTTCCTTATTTAAGAGACGTGGACGTAGGAAAACCTGAACGCACCATAGAGCCGCGGGGTTGGTTCACAAAGGGTGAGGGGAATGCAATGTATCTATTGTAACGGACATGAGGTACCAAGACTCGATAGTGTCACGGAATGTGATCTATTTTTACGCCTTGAAAAGAATTAAGCTTTCTCGCTTGGAAAATATGCAAAAATAAGATATATATATGAATAATTGCTATATTAATTACTAATAGCGAATTAAGACATGTGTTACATCGAATTAGTACACACCAGAACCTGTCATACATAGTATATTAAAATGTAAAAGTACAAAATATTATTTTATCATTATGGGGTTAAATATATTTTTTTGCCATCGCTTTCACATTAATTCGGAATAATGCGGATAACCAAATTTGCTGTATATAACAGCACAAACATTCGTAAATATATATCGATCAAATAATCAAATAAAATAATCAAAAGTTTAATATTTATCGAAAATTAATACCTGGAATCGAAAAATAGAAATTACTGCAATGGTCTTAGTTCACACCGTATGATGCCTCACCCCTGGGGGTGGTCGATTACGGTTTTTGGATGAGCTCACTCACTTTTCACATTTTCATCTCACGTGACTTTGTTCGTCCAATTACGATTGTGTCGAGTGAAACTGCGAGATCGCTAGGCACTTCCGAGATATTAATCTCATATTTTCACATTTTTACACTTTCACGCCGAAAAAAAATAAGGTGAAGGCAGAGAACGAGACAAAGAGCCTCGGCAAGCCCCATGCAAAAAATGCCCGTTTGCGGTATCTCGATTTTTGAAACTTTTTATGCCAAATGATTACTTATGATGACCCAATAATCCCTGCAAAATTTCAAGATGAGCATATGCCCCGTTTAAGAAATATAAGGGGTCAAAGTTGACCATGTCCAATAAAAAAATATAGCAGTTTCACATTTATACTCCAATAATAATGTCCAAAAAATTCAGCTGAAATGGTTCTTTTAAGATTTTTGGCTGCTGATTACGAATCTGAAGTCAGTTTAGAGAAATTAAAAATGGCGGATCCAATATGGCGGACGGATTTTTTTTTAAATTCATCGGATTCAATTGAAACACGTTATTTCTCTAAACTGACTTCAGATTCGTAATCAGCAGCCAAAAGTTTTAAAAGAATCATTTCGGCTGAATTTTTTGGACATTATTATTGGGGTATAAATGTGAAGCTGCTATATTTTTTTATTGGACATGGTCAACTTTGACCCCCTATATTTCTTAAACAGGGCATATGCTCGTCCAGAAATTTTGCAAGGATTATTGGGTCATCATAAGTAACCATTTGGCATAAAAAAAGTTTCAAAAATCGAGGTACCGAAAACGGGCATTTTTTGCCGATGCTCTTTACGTCTCGTTCTCTCTATTTTAATTTTTTTTATATTAAACAATAGGTTGTGCTTTTAAAATATTTTATTTTTAGTTACTCGCCTATAAATACTTCTAAATTCATTTTCTGGCACTGAAAATGGATTTCAGGCATCTCGTAGTCTCCTATGGATCCTCAACATTGCACGGAAAAAAAAATTAGCTGCTGTAGCTAAATAACTTAGCAAAAAATGGACAGCTAATATTTTTAGTTGTGATAGCAAAAATTTTAGCTATCACAACTAAAAATATTAGCTGTCCATTTTTTGCTAAGTTATTTAGCTACAGCAGCTAATTTTTTTTTCCGTGTGTATTTTCCCGAAAGGGCATCATAAACACCGTTAATAACATCTCTATTTTGCTCTATATTATTGTAACTCATTTCACTTTTCCCTTCATCTCGCTATTTCACTTCAAAATTTCGTGTCAAACCCGCTCACGCGAACAATCTCGTATTTTCACGAGGTAAGATCAACCGTAATTGGGTGAGTTACTCACTCTCGTCATTTTCACCCAATCTGAGAACCGTAATCGACCCCCTGGTCCACAATCTCGCTTTAAGTAAGCTGTAAGCTTTAAGCTGTAAGAAATTAACCAATCACAGGCATTTATTCCCCTCACTCTCACCTGTGATTGGTTAATTTCTTATGGGTTAAGGCTTACAGCTTAAAGCAAGATTGTGGACCAGAGGTTACGATGTGACAATAGACACTAAATATCAGGCAAGATGGCCGCGGCGATAGATTCCCCTCACCTTTCAGAGCCAACTCTCCGCGTCCATAAGGATACTTTACGCACCGTCCAGATATTTTCTACGTCCATGCGTGTGTCCGTCAGATTCTATGGGAGGCATAGGCCGATATTCGCAGTCGGGTCTCAAATTCAAGACAGTCTTGAATTTATCTAAAGATGACCTTAAAATGATCGTAAATATAAGATCTGAATACCGCCATTATTGTTAGATTTAAATGATTGTCTGTAACGAGTCGCTTCATCGTTTTATTTTCTCTTTACTTGCGTTTTAGGAAATTTTTTAAGAAAAGAAGAAAAGGAAAACGATAAAGCCCATATTTATGACAAGCAAAATGACCAGTTATGGATTCCTAAGCGTAGTGAAAAGTTTCTAAAAGTTTGGCTTCACGCTCATTTGTTAGAATAATAAATGTTGGACTAAATGGAATGCGTGAAATAGAAAAATAATGCGGACAGAGGAAAACCTAATGAGGGTTGAAATTGCCACGTGACAATCAACAGCGTCCGTATGGAACCATACTCTGAATTCTCTTTTACCGCCAAGGGTGTCACAAAAATTGGTTTTGAAGGATTCTTATTGGTTGAAAGGATCTTTTATGGGCACCTTTATCGATAAAAGAGAATTGAGAATATGGGCCATTGACTTCCAACACTTGCGTATCTCATTATTGTAAAAACTTCCTAATTGGCCGGTCTGACATTGGCACGGGCGCATACCGTCCGTGGATCTTTCGAAACTTGGAAAGCTAGCGAGAAAAGCCGAGAAGCGCGTCACTTGGAAACTACCAACATGACCTTCGCAATGCTATACCTACACGTCGCTATATCTTTCCTTCTTCCTCACTCAACGCTCCTCGTTTTGCCCATACCTTTGTGAGAAATCTGTGACCTAGCCTAACTTAGACCCAATGATTTGAATTTTAGAAAAACGATTAGAGACTAGCGTCACGGAGACAAGGGTGGAGAGGGAACAAAGAAGAAGCTGCTACTGTGCCACGTACGTGGTTACGTGCGTGCGTGCATGGGAGAGGTAAACCCAGGCAGGATCTTAAGGACCACGCGGCACTAGAAGGAAGGGGACGGGACAAGGTGGCGGCATTGCCAGGACACCAGCTTCCGGCGCTAGCGGCGGAAGAAAGATGTCGAGCGTCTGCAACAGTCCTAGCAGAATGGCTCTGCAGTCGCATTATTCTTTACGATGGCACAATCATCTCAACCACATACAACGGGCGTTCGAGGAGTTGTTGCACGCGGAGACGCTCGTCGACGTGACCCTCATCTGCGCCGACAGCAGCGTCAAGGCACACAAGGTCGTCCTTAGCGCCTGCAGGTAAGAGAATTTAATTCTCCTTGGACAAATCTTGCCGAGGTTGGACCCCGTTCTGATCCTTCTCGGTCTTTTATTTTCAACACGATTAACTGATTTATACAGCTGGCATTTGCAACAATTATCACTAGGCTCGCCGCAATTTTGTATGAGTGCAATATCCACGAGTTGCTTTCGTATTTATAAATGAGAAAGAAAATTTATTTCATGAGACCAATAGTGATATGCTATGGCGAAGTGAAATGTTTCGTCTCGGTAGAAAAAAAAGTGTAGAATAAGAAACATTAGTGCGACGGCAAAGGTTTAAAGCTTTCTAAATTCTCCTTTGCCCGTGTATCTCGCGGCAGTAACTTCCTGTACTACTTGCCCCCTTAGCGGTTCGTCGCCTCGATTGAAAATGATCAATCGAGTTTTGCCGATCGGCGGAAGTGTATAGTGTATCTTAAAGAAGCGACGCGCACTTTGAAACCGAGAGTGGTTCTTGCGCTCGGCGGGTCTCTCTCTCTC